TTTCCTGTACCCCATAAAATTCAAGCCTTTGATTGGCTCCTCCTTCAAGGTAGAACCCTAACCCTAGACCAATTACAGCGTAGAAGGCTCTCTTTGCCCAACCGCTCTACATTATGTGTCTTCAAGATGAGGAATCCATTTCAAACCTCTTCACTCACTGAAAGGTCGCTATGGGGCCTCTAGTCCTCTCTCCCAGTGCAGAAAAAATCGAACCAGAATGGTTAGCCAGTCATGAGCTTGGAAGCAGTTCAACCGGCCTAACGGTAAACCAGTCGGCTCAACCGTTATAACAGAGCAAGTTCCGAGCAATCAAAAACGTGTTAAAAAAATAAGAAAAAGACAAAACAAAATCTAATAAAATATGATAAATTCATTTAAGAAATGATTAAAAAAGGCATCTCCAAATGAAGTTGAAAATTAAAGAAAAAAATGGATTTTAAAGAATCGATTTGTGCCCAAGGGTATTTTTGAAATTTTTCCAAAAAAGATGAAAAAATGTACACATAAGTATTAATTGCCAAAAACAATTTCCAATCTTTGTCAAATGATGAAAAACGTTAAAAAAATGCATTACAAACAAAGTCCCTTATTTTTTTGAATTTTATATATTTTAAAAAAAAATCAAAATACCCGGCCAGTCACCAAAACCGGCCAAAACCGAAACCGATGACTGGCCGGTTCCAATCTCACTAAGCAGTTACCGGTTGTACTACCCAATTTTTCCTTCAATGCTCTCTCCTCGAACTTTCGAACTCTAGTGGGTGACTCCCCCTTCACTTCAAATTTCAAAACCTTTTCAGGACATTCCTTAACCTCCATTTGCAAAACAAGGCAAAAAACTTTAGCAGCCGTTTGTTGATGCCCTTCTCTAGAGTATCTAGCTCAAGAAGAATTCTAAGACATTCAAAGGCATTTCAAGAAATCGTTGCTCCATCTTTGACTCTATGTCAGCATTAATTTTCCTATGGGTTAAGGTCATCCTTGTCTTTACCACCTTACCCATTTCCCACTACCTAACCAATTGGCATGTTCTCTTGAATCTGTCGTCCCCTCCTTACAGAACCTCAGCTCAGTGGACTCCCCCCTGCTGGGATTCCTTAAACTGAACATGGATGGCTCTTCCCTTGGAAACCCTGGGCCTGCAGGAATAGGAGGCACCTTGGCAAGCTCCAACAGAATCTTCCTCTCCTTCTCGAGGCACATAGGTGTTGCTGACTCAACCACCACTGACGCCTTAGCTATGGTTAAAGGTATCAAAAGTGTATCACATGCAGGCTTGAACTATCAAGGACTCATCATTGAATCCGACTCCAATAACTCCACTTTATGGGCCTCCCAACAACATCAACCGCCTTGGCGCCTACACTATTTTTTAGCACATCGATTTCCTATGCAACTTCATCCTTCAAGCCACGCTCAAGCACATCCCAAGAGAAGCCAATGCTGAAGCATATAGGTTGGCTTACACAAATCAAGATCCGGTTGCTACAAATTTAAATTTTGTTTTTGCTAATTTTATTTTTAGAGATTGGATAGACTTTTTATTTTTTTTTATTAGAGATTGTGTTTCTGGACATCCTCGATAACAAGGTGCTGAGAATGAGAGAGCAGGACCTCTGTGATATAGAAAACGAAAATTTAAGAAGGCAAGTAGAAGAATTGACCCAGCGCTTAGCGCAAAATTCAGCCTCAACACACTATGATGACGGTAGTGAGTCGGAAGCTGCTTTTGGGAACCCATTCCATACGCACGCTCCGCGTCGAGAGCCCCATGTTCGGGATAGCAAATCTAGGTATTAAAGTTGATCTACCGAAGTTTGCAGAAGGATTGCAAGTGGAGGAATTTATTGAGTGGATAGAGGACCAACAGTCCAGGAGCCGAGCTAGCACAACCACGACATGAGATTTGGGTCTCCAAACAGGCCAGTTTGAGGATCGTGGTGGCAAGCCTGAAGATGCACCATCTGAGAGCCATATGGATGCCACTGCAGCACCTATTAATCACCCAAATCCTGCTGGTCCAAGTGCAAGAGTTTCGGGCAGCAGCTCAACTCTCCATTGTTTCAAGTGCACGGAGGCAGGTCACAAGGCAGGAGATTGTAGGAAGTCGAATAGTCATCCTGATAAAAGCAAGCAACTCATGATTGTGGAAGAGAATCCAGATGATGTTGATGGGTATGAAGATGATTCAGTTTATGATGAGGGGCCAGACGAGGATGATCTTGTCTATGGAGATGTTGGAGAGTCCTTAGTTATTCGAAAGAGCCTACTTACACCTAAGCAAGAACCCAAGAGGATTGGTTGAAGACCAATATTTTTTACACTACCTGTACCATTGGAGGCAAGGTGTGCAAGCTTATTATTGATAGTGGGAGAGAATGTAATATCACAAGATGCGGTCACAAAGCTCAAGCTCAGCACCAAGAAGCATCCCCAACCATACAAGTTCACTTGGTTCAAGAAGGGCAATGACGTACGAGTAGAAAGTAGGTGCAATGTTTCTTTTTCTATTGGAAAGAAATATTTGGATGAAGTGTGGTGTGATGTGGTTTTCATGGATGTTTGTCATCTATTATTGGGTAGACCATGGCAATATGACCGTAAAGCCATACATGATGGGAGGAGGAACACATGCATTATTTGGGAAGATAATAATAAAACTATTTTAGCTCCCATGAAAGAGGAAATTACACGTAACCCTAAACCAAGGGATGGTGAAAATTTACTCTCAATGGCTAACTTTATGGAGGAGGTTCAGAAGACTGGGTTAATGTTTGCTTTGATGGCTCATGAGGAGGGTTTAGATTCTGTTATTCCAGAGGAGATCGAGCCTTTGGAGATAACTGACAAAGAAAAAAACATTTATGTGGCTGAACAATTGACATAAAACGACCCTTTCCTCGAAGGCTAATCATTTTCTATGCACGATCGTTATTCTTTGATCGGTGCAATAGCCTACAAGACTCAGGATCGTGTTTGCAATATTCGGGATGAAGAAGGATGCGAAGAAGATTTTATATTATCGCATTTTAAAACTCGAGGTCGAGTTTTCCCAAACCAGGGGAGAATGATGCAATCGAAAATGCGGTCGACTATTTAGAGCGGTCGGATCGTGATCGAAAGAAGAAGAAATAAGATGAACTTTTTTTTTCTTTAAATTTCTAGAATTTTTTTAGAGTTTGTTTTAAGACTTTGGTAGTTTTTAATTATTGAAAAGTCCATAATTTTCTTAGGAAAGAAAATTTCGTAGTTAGTTAGGAAACATGAGCCTATCTATTGGAGTCTATCCCTTTTCTTTTTTGTTGGAGTTGCTTTAAAGTAAAAGAGATGGTACAACGGTTGGTAGCATTAATGGGATGACCCACCTTGTGGTGACGTCCTCATCTAGAAAAGGTAGAAAAGGTGGATTATAAAAGGAGGTGAGAGGATCTTGTAGAAGCAATTTTTTTTATGCGAAATCAAAGTTGATCTTGTTGCTCCAGATCGTGTAGAGAGAGGAGAGAGAGTGTGCCCTTTGTGTGGGTTTTCTTCTTCTTTCCTCTTGAGTTTGTGAGCACGTCACAAAAGACTCAAATCCACACATTTGTTCTTTCTTCTTGTGATTTCCTTCTCGGTTTTTATTTCACCCTGAACGCAGATAATTTTGTTGGGTGTTAGTAGTTGGTAATTTTATACTGCGTCATTGGCCAAGGATGGAATTGCCATATAACAGGTGCACCCCATAAATCTTTAAATCCCATTCTTTTACACCTCCCCTCAAACCAATCCCCCCCAAAAAAAAAACAAATTTGTGGGGGTATTTCGTAAAGGAGGGAAAAAAAAAAAAGGAGGAAAAGAAAAAAAGTACTAAAGTGCCAGGAACAAAAGAAAGTTTGTTCAGAGCTCCTGCACTATTCTCATATACACATTCCCATCCCGTTTTGCTCAACCTCTCTACCTCTAGTTCTGTTTGCCCTTACATCTTGTTCCCTATTTTTCTCCTCTTAAGCACTCTACTTCTCCCCCATGCTCCTCCTCCTTCCTGCCTCCCTCAACCCTCTTTCCTTCACCTCTACTCCCTCTCTCCCCTTCTCTATTTCACTTAAGCTCATCTCTTTTCTCCCTCCAGCACTCAACCCTTTCATGCTCCCGTATCCTCATCTTCCTCCCTTCTCTTGTCCTCACCCCTTCTTCATCTCATTCTCCTATCTTTTGCAGGTCTTCATCGGATGGTCTGCCAACACACATCACCTTCGCCCAGGTCACACCGATCACCAGCAAGTCTATCCAAGCAACCACTCTCTCTGGCGGCCTTACCCCCAACAATTTGCAGTGTTTTATTTTTAATGAACTTCCCTTGGCTTTTGCCTTTCTCTGCTACTCTCGTCCTCTAAACTCTTTCTATCGCTCTGTTTATTTTCTCACCTCCATATTTGTGTATTCATGGCTTAATGTATACAAAGGTTAACATTTCTTCACAAAAACAAACAACAAAGCAAGCAATGTGGTACTTACAGTACTTGGTTAGTGGTACTTACAGTACTTGGTTAACACCCACGTTTAAGTTTGGTGACATAGTAAAGCATCATGAATGGACGGCCCAAGGAGCAAGGAGCAAGAAATTAGCCATACATATGCCAATGCACCAGTTGCTAAAATAAGCAAAAACTTTTCTTTTTGTAAAATAAAATAAGCCAATTTGTGAACGTTCCTAATCTTAAAATTCAAATAACAACAGAAAAATGTAAAAAAATAACTTCACAACAAGAAACCACATAACCAATCTATGCACAGTTAAACTAACTGCAATCTCATCATTCCAATTACAAAGAAAACCTATAGAGAACAAAAACAATAAATCCATACGATTTCAAAGAGTAGAAAGAATCAATCATGAAACCAAATCTTTGTATGCAGAGGAGAGAACCATTTCACTGAGCAAAGCAATGGAGGGGAGTAAGGGGAGTAAGGGAGAGAGAAAGGGGGAGGCAGAGTGAGGAAGGATAGAGATATAAATGTACCTTGACACCACCCCACCAATCGATGAGCCAAACGAGCTCCAACCATAGCAATTCAGCCACTACCCTATTTATCCTCCTATACAAATTCTTCGAAAGTGGACGAAAAATCACATAGCAAACAATCTGAAACCACCAGAACAACACACACTGAGAGATATAGAAAGAAAAATCAAACGTTATCACAGAAAAAACCCAGCTTTCGATGGATCCAAAGCGAAAGCCCTAGATCACAAAAGCAAAGAAGTGAACATCAAAACTATTCTGGTTTGGAGGGAGAAAGCTACTTGAATGAGGTTCACTAGGAAGCCTGATAATAAGAAGAGGAGGCCCATTGGAACGATGACTGCAGCTGTGGTAATCGCCATGGCCGAGGTAGAGAGAGGAACGAGGTGGAAAAGAAGAGAGAGAAAAAGAACAATCGACCGTCGTAAATGAACAGTGAAAATCGGGTCCGCTTCTGAAACCCATCACCCAGAAATGCTTGAAACCTTTGCCCTCCATTAATATACCAACATAATTTTGATTGAGAGAGTTATTACCGCCGTAACTTACTTTAAATCCTAATAGAGCCCCTTAATTTCCATAATAACCATTATGTCCCCCAGAGAGATTTTTAATTTTTATTAGAGGTGGCAATGGACCCGATGTGTAGGCCTAACCTTGAGTTCAAATATGGGTTCAAATTTTGGACCCAAATATTATTTGGGTCTGGGTCTAGCCAGATCATAACCGTACACATAGTAAGAAAGTATCTTATGGCAATTATGTACCTTTAGGAGACCTAGGTATTGTCACAATATTGATAAAGTTTACAATATTTTTTGAAAAAAAAAAAACTCAATTATAAGATAAATGATGGTTATATATATATATATATATATAATCATTGGGTGACAATGGATCCGACAAACCCAAGACCCGATAGATCTGGATATGAGTTCAAATTTTTAACCTAGGTCTAACCAGACCCAACCCATACAAGAAGGGGGATGGTACCATAGAAATTTAGGGAAAAGATCAAAGGGTTTTAGGACAAAATTTCCAGCCATAAATGGGTAGTAGGTTGTTAAGTTTCTTTGGTTCCTCAACTAAACCCCAACTACTTGGTGGGGGAGCCACAAATTCTATGAATGACGAAGCCGTGGATTTCAAAATGAAAGAGGATGGATGGATTGCATGATGTTGGAAACAACGACAAAAAGGACCCACCTCCCTACCTCGTTAAACCAAGTAGCTTGGCATCCAAGAAGATCACGTGCCCCTCACATTATAGTTACCTAAGTCTCTCGTACAAATCAAAGATTTTTTCAAAAAATCTCAAATTTTGAAAAATCGTTTAAGAACTATGAGTTCTTAAAAATTTCTTTATAAAATCATATTTTTTAATATAATTGATATAAATCTGTATTTTATTTTAATATAACGAATATAAATCTATATTTTATTTTTTTCAAAAAAAAATTTATCTATAACTTTATTTATTTATGAACTTGATATTGTTGGATTTTAGTTTAAAAACAAGCACATTAATACACCAGTGATTTTCTTCTTTTGAGTGAGGATTGAAGCCACCTGTTGAGGCGAGTGCTGCATCAACCTGTTTATTGATCCAAGAGTCCTATGTGGATTTTTGCGTGGTTTTGGGAAGCAGCGCCGTAGAAACGGTTTTCACCAACTTCTTTTTATGGGGTTCCTTTACCCATGACCTTCTGGTCATGTCCACCCTTTTTCTTTATTCTTGCTCACGATGCCCTTTCAGGTTTTCACCGTGTCTAGTTTTTTTATTCATGAAACTCTTTTACTCATGGTTTTGTGATCATGCTCGTCCGTCATTTTTACTCGTACTGTTCCCTTGTTCAGGTATACACTATGCACGTTATTCTTTTCTCTTTTTCTTTGTGAAGGCGTGTTTAAGGTCACGCCTTCGAGACCTGTGTGAAACAGTTTAATGTCATGCAGCCTGGACCGTGAAATAGGATAAGTAATATTTCATTCAAATACTGATAAGTAATTGATAATACTATGTAATTACTTACATGATGTTTCCCTTGCAAATCACATTATCAAATAATAGAAATATTGTAATAAATCACTCCAAACCCCTTAATTTTTCACTCAATAATTCAAAGCAAAATCCTGAAATTTTTATTCTAAATACAGGGACCAAAAATTGCTTAAAAGTCTACATGCAAAAAATAAAAGTTGTTTTCTCAAAAAATAGTGAGCCCTTTTTTCCAAATAAAAAGTTAATGTCATAAATTATTCAAGCCCAACAATATAATACATCAAAATAAATCTCCTAGATCAACAGTTCAAAATCCCTAGTAAAATCATGTATAAAAAAAAATTGAAATTCATATAAAAAAATCAAAGATGATTGCAAAACTCTAATTTATTAAGCAATAACAGAAATCATGCCTCGTATGACAACACATGGCATCAGAAATATTATTGTTCCCCTTAAGTACCTGCATGCTTTTTTTTTTTTGGTGGAAGATAAAGGTCGCAAGTTGTCTTTCTCGTCGTGGCCTCTGACTCTCCAAAAACTCCTAGTCACAGTAGATCACTTTTCAAAATGTGTGTATAGACTTGTGATCTAAACTTAAGAAAAAGAAAAAAAACCTTCTTCTTTGATCAAAACCTTAGCTTGTATATCAATGGATCAAAAATATCATGTGTTTGAACCACAACAGCACAGGAGAAAAGAAAGCAAAAAATGAGAACCAATAAAATATAGAAAATAGAAACAAAGAGCACCCATCCATTCCTAAATAAAACGCAGACACATGCCAAAAAAAAAGACACCAGATCATTACCAACCAAGCTGGATGGTAGATTGAGAGAGAGAGAGATAAAAAAAAATCAAATCTCACATACCTTTAGAGAAAGAAACTCTATCCATTAAGACATCAAATAAGAGGACATCCTCTTCCATAGCTTGTTCAATCTTTCTCCATCCAATAATCTTTCACTAATTTTTAATACATATTGTTAACAAAATATATATTAATAGATAGAAGCATTACTCTCCATGAACCTAAAACCTATCAATAGAAACACCAGACCATAACAATTAAAAAGATTAAAAAAATCAACCAATATTCCAATAATCTATGAAAAGAATAAGAAAAAAGAGTCACCTCAGCATTAACCTAAAACCCATCAATAGAAACACCCAACCATATCAATTAAAAAAATCAACTAAAATTCGAATAATCTATGAAGAGAAGAAGAAAAGAGAGTCACCTCCAATATGAAGAAGAATACCACGATAGCTTAAAGGCTATTAGAGAATATGTGATATATAGTTAAGAGTGGAGAGGGAGATGAGTTCATTGAGACGTTATTTAAAGAGATAAACAAATTTGCTAGTTGTTTAGGTAAAAATAAAGGGAGATAAGGTTTCTTAGAGAGTGATTTGGGAAGATTTGTAGATTGCAATATGTTTTCATGAGAGCGAGAGTACGTTGGAGAGAGAAAGAAAGAGCATGTTTCTTAAATAAGCTCATTCTTTTTGTGTCTATCTTTCTAGATGATGATAGAGATAGTTCATTGGAGAGGGAGAGAAAGAGCATGCTTCCTCAATAAACTTCTTTTATTTTTTTCTCTCTATATATTTATCTCTCTCTCTATATCATCCTCTCAAGATCTTCACGCACCAATTTTAGAACCTTATCACCACACATCAATTTTTTCTAGATGATGATAGAGAGAGTTCACTGGAGAGAGAGAGAGAGAGAGAAAGAGAGAGAGAGAGAGAGAGAGAGAGAGAAG